ACACCTTAACTCCTACAATAGAAGCATCATAACATAAATTAATTGACTTAATCCATGAAACTAGGTTTAGGAAATACTTCAGGCCCACTGGCCAAAGCCTGTGCACCCATTAAGACAGAAAAAAGGGAGGTTTAAAGAAACAAAAAATGGAAATAAACAATTTTTTTTTCAACTTTATCAGGGCCAGATTTAATACAGTCTTTAAAGAAAAACTCTTAAAAAGTCAGATAGTAAGAGACCATTCTTTAAGAAGATATTTCTGTGCAAAATGAGAAAGGTTCTACATGATTACTTAGAAGTGTATTTATTTCAAAGTAACACTTTTTATGATCTAGTTTTGAAAAACACACATGGAATCTAACAATTTATAATTGACATATTGCATAGAAAACAATACAGTCTATTGTTGATTTACTTGACCTCAGTGAAGATTTCAATACCATTGATCATTCAAGTCTTCATCATTTAGAGCAGATTCAAAAGGTATTGTTTTCCTCTGGCTGTTCTCTTCTTATTGGTAAAGCTTCTTTTAATCCTCTTTGCTATAATTGAACAACTTTTTTAAGACTAACATGTTGGTCTTCCTTTCCTAACTGTTGCTCCAGCTTTTAACTACATGTGTATTTTTTCACATTTTCACATGGAAAATATCTCACGTGGCATTAGAGCTAAATTACTGTTGAATACCAGAACCTGCTCCTTTTTTGAAACCATCTGAGTACATGTTGAATGTAAGTGTCTCGACATGATTGATCTACACCAATAGAAACTGGAAAAAACTCAATTCCAGAAGGTGCTGTAATAACCCTTGTGAACGTCAATTTCTCAATGATCAAGTAAGAGACTGCATCTTCACAAAAAACTTTCCACTGTAAGCACAACATGATGATCCTTTCCATTCAAAATTCTGAACAAAATGTATAATTGTCTTCTTCCATCGTTAGGACATTTTTTGAGTGACCATAGTCCTTGACATCTTCCCACACCCAGTTTATATTTCATAATCTGTCAGAAAAGGTCAATTAAATTCTAAGGGCAAACGAAAATCAAAGTCTTCTCTGTGTTTCTGGGCTAAAGCAGTGCGTAGATCAGCAATTGAAAGAGACAGAAGAGGTGGCAGTAAAAGCTTCTCACTTTGAACTGATCGAACAAAACCTGAGCTCCCAAAAATCAGGCGTGACCATTAAATTCAAATGTCCAATTCATTGGATAATTCCTGACAACATGCCAATGGAAGCAGTATTTGTATATTCTTTTCTCATTGCCATTTTTTAATGCTTGACAAACAAACAAGGAGGTTTAAAGTCATTTGTAATTAGGACTTTGCAAAAGAACGGTGTAATTTCTGTATATATGGTAGGACATTTGTATTGTGTTTACATACATATTCTGGACAGTGCAATGAAAATCCGGACTGTCCGCCCTAAAGCTAGATATCTGGCCACCCTACTTCCAACTCCTGTTCTTTCCCACTCGCCATACCCACACAATTCTCCACAACAGCTGATTTTTTTCTGCTACACCCGGCTACGCTGCCTCGCTTCTTCTTCTTGTTTACTACTGCTGGTTGGCTTTGGTCGCAGTACCGCCACCTTCTGCTCTGGAGTGTACACGCTTCGCCTATGAGAAAAAGGAGAAGCGCATGAACCGAACTCAACACACGCGAACTGAACCGAGACAGTCGAACCGAATGGTTCGGACGGTTTTCATAAACCGTTCCATCCCTAATAGTCATGGAATCTTTCCTTTAATTATGCACACTATAACAGTTCTCCATAAATAAATAAAAAAACAGAATTTACACAAATTCTAATAATAACTGTTGCATATTGGGCAGTTTTGCAAAAGGAATGGCAGCATTCAGCTGGATGGAAAGGACAGGAATAGATAAAGATTGGCCAAAAGGTAAATTGAGGTAAACTGTTCAACTTTGTTGTTGTGAGTTTCTAAAAAGCTTGCACAGCCATTTGCCACACATTACCCTGTGATCATGAATCGCTCCCCATTTTCTGAACAATATGAGATTTGAAAAACACAATCCCACTTTGGTGTCTCATCATCTCTGGAAGAAGAAACGGAGAAATAACAGCACCATCACTGCCCACCTGCAGGACATCGCTTCTTCTCTCCCCAAGAAATGACAGCGACCAAAAAAATTTGGCGTCCCACTGTCAATTGCCTACCCATCAGACTGTGACGATAGAAAGTTGGTGTTTGGCCATTATCCCTTGCTTTCATACTTTAGGATGCTGCCTTCCTCTATTCAAGAGACAATCGTGAACCTCTGAGGACAATACTTTAATTTTTTTATTTCAGTGTTTAAATAAAGGGTAAAGAGAAACAGCTGATGTGCTTTACCTCCTGCTGAGCTCTATATCGTCAATAGCTTCTAGTTGGGGGACAAATTGGTCTTGAAAATAAGGGGTCATTTCCTCTGCTTGTTTACCTGTGTGCAGCACACTGCCATCAGTTTGAGGCAGACACAAGCTGACCCAGCTTTACCCTTTGAGAGCAAACGTTAGCTTGGGTTGAGTCTTTCTGATCTTCATTGACAACAAGCAAGCAACTAGAATGTGTGTAAGTGTGTGCGCTTAGGTAACAAACAGCAGCAACGCAGATTAACTGATGACCTTTTAAACTCTGAGGCAAATAAACCCATTTTCTGTATTTCCTCCAATTTCTTTGGGAGACAAACTGACAGTTTGCACAGCTCTGAAAGAAAATGTCCTCTCTGATGTCTCCAAGGTTTAGGTTAAGTGAAATAGGTGCTTTTTTTCCTGTTCATAACTGTGTATTTATGTCTATTTGAGTATTTGTCAATGTTTAAGAAAATATAACTAAAACCACATATTTATAAACTTACAAGGTAGAAAAGGTTTATTCTCATTCACTCGTATTAAGCCAGTCTAATAATTACCTGTTTTAGGTCATTACATCTTTTTCTTTTTACCCGAATGATTGGTTTACTTGCACTTTTTGGCTACCTTATATACTTGTGTTTTTAACTGCACAACTTGGTTGAAAAACTTTGGATAGCTTTACACAAGCTTCTAACACTATTTTGCCGGAATTTTGTCCCATTCCTCCAAAAAAAAAAACAACAACAAAAAAAACAGGTGCATCTAAATCAGGGTTTAACTAGGGCTCAATGATTTTTGCCACACATCAAAATTGGGATTATTTTTAATCAATATTGCAATTTTATTTAGATTTTTCTTTGCACTAACCACAATACAAAAAAGGAAATAAAGAAAAAGAAATACAGGTGCTGGTCATAAAATTAGAATATCATGAAAAAGTAGATTGATTTCAGTAATTCCATTTAAAAAGTGAAACTTGTATATTATATTCATACATTACATACAAACTCATATATTTCAGATGTTTATTTTGTTTAATTTTGATGATTACAAATGACAACAAATGAAAATCTCAAATTCATCATATCAGAAAATTAGAATATTGTGAAAAGGTTCAAAATTGATGGCCCCTGGTGCCACACTCTAATCAGCTAATTAACTCAAACCACCTGCAAAAGCCTTTAAATGGTCTTTCAGTCTAGTTCTATAGGCTACACAATCATGGGGAAGACTGCTGACTTGACAGTTGTCCAAAAGACGACCATCGACACCTTGCACAAGGAGGGCAAGACACAAAAGGTCATCGCTAAAGAGGCTGGCTGTTCACAGAGCTCAGTGTCCAAGCACATTAATAGAGAGGCGAAGGGAAGGAAAAGATGTGGTCGAAAAAAGTGTACAAGCAAGAGAGATAACCGCACCCTGGAGAGGATTGTGAAACAAAACCCATTCAAAAATGTGGGGGAGATTCACAAAGAGTGGACTGCAGCTGGAGTGAGTGCTTCAAGAACCACCACACTCAGACGTATGAAAGACATGGGTTTCTGCTGTCGCATTCCTTGTGTCAAGCCACTCTTGAACCACAGACAGCGTCAGAAGCGTCTTGCCTGGGCCAAAGAGAAACAGGACTGGACTGCTGGTGAGTGGTCCAAAGTCATGTTCTCTGATGAAAGTAAATTTTGCATTTCCTTTGGAAATCAAGGTCCCAGAGTCTGGAGGAAAAGAAGAGAGGCACTTCATCCACGTTGCTTGAAGTCCAGTGTAAAGTTTCCACAGTCAGTGATGGTTTGGGGTGCCATGTCATCTGCTGGTGTTGGTCCATTGTGTTTTCTGAGGTCCAGGGTCAACGCAGCCACATACCAGGAAGCTTTAGAGCACTTCATGCTTCCTGCAGCTGACCAACTTTTTGGAGATGCAGATTTCATTTTCCAACAGGACTTGGCACCTGCACACAGTGCCAAAGCTACCAGTACCTGGTTGAAGGACCATGGTATCCCTGTTCTTAATTGGCCAGCAAACTCTCCTGACCTTAACCCCATAGAAAATCTATGGGGTATTGTGAAGAAGAAGATGCAATACACCAGACCCAACAATTCAGAAGAGCTAAAAGCCACTATTAGAGCAACCTGGGCTATCATAACACCTGAGCAGTGCCACAGACTGATCGACTCCATGCCACGCCGCATTGCTGCAGTAATACAGGCCAAAGGAGGCCCAACTAAATACTGAGTGCTGTACATGCTCATACTTTTCATGTTCATACTTTTCAGTTGGCCAACATTTCTATAAATCCTTTGTTTTTATTGGTCTTCAGTAATATTCTAATTTTCTGATATGATGAATTTGAGATTTTCATTTGTTGTCATTTGTAATCATCAAAATTAAACAAAATAAACATCTGAAATATATGAGTTTGTATGTAATGTATGAATATAATATACAAGTTTCACTTTTTAAATGGAATTACTGAAATCAATCTACTTTTTCATGATATTCTAATTTTATGACCAGCACCTGTATAAAGCCTTAAACCACAACAAACTATATTGAAGTGAATCAAATGAAAATTGAAGTGAACTAAATATGGTAAGTCTGTTTTATCATTTGGCCATTATAAAAAAAAAAAAAAAAAACTGCACCTACCTGTCATTGATGCTCCAGTTGAGGCACAGGTTTAGGGAGCTGAGCTTCCGACATTTCCTCACAACTTCCATCACTGTTTCGTTGTTCAGTTCCGAGATGTGCCGCAGATCCAGGACACTCAGGTTTTGCAGCTATAAAAGACGAGCAATACAATATTATAGATAAGCACTTCATCAAAAATTCTCTAAAACATTTATGGCAAATTGTTCTCTATGAAAATGTACATCATACCTTTCCTCTAGTAAACAACAGACCAGGCTGTTGCTATTTTTGACTGACTAGGGCTTTGTTAAAAAACAAAAAACTCAATTTCTGAATAAAATCTTAATAATTTCTAAAAATGTATTATCCACTGTCCTTACGTCTGCTAAAAATGTAAAAGTTAAAAGCTATAAGTTATTTCTGCTGCTAAATATTGATGTAATGCTTGTTCCAATGGTACGGTCCTGTAATTTAACTAATAGCTAAAAAGGTTTATGAGCCCAATATTTCAATTGGAGATTGAATTGGATCGGATAGAAAAGATCTGATTTTGAATCTCAAATCAAATTGAAATTTGATTCAATTTCCAGTCCTTCTACTGATGAAAGGTCTTCATTGCTGGTCCTCTGGGCCCATTAAGTACCACACAGGTTTTAGATGTACCTACGCCCAACCACACCTGGATCAATTGACTGCATTACCTCCTTAGCAGCCATCAAGTGTGTCTACTTGCTTTGATTTTGTTTTATTTTCCTATATTTTAATCATGTAGACTTTGCATTGTCTTTGTACTGAATTGTGTTATACAAATAAATTTGCCTTGCCTTGCCTTGCAGAGGCTTGGTAATCGTCCATCCAGTAAAGATAGGTGTGTGTAGGCAGAAAAGTTCTTAATACATGCAGGAAAGTGCATCTGGGGATCAGGAAGGAAGACCTCTGCTATAGAGGAAATCTAATAAAAGCATACAATCCTTACATTCTGATAGGCAAAATGAATATTCCTGATGTATCTGCAAGAATGAAATGAATCCATTTCTGTGTGCAGAGTAAATGTGTGTTCTACCACATGCTGCTGCAAATACAACAAAGCAAATACAGAACAAAACCAAACAAGCCTGATAAGTGCTACAGAATTGTTTGTTGTTCCCGTTTACCATTCTGCACCAGCGCGCCTGGTGTGAGGGGTTATTGGCCAATATGAGCATTCGCTTTTCATCTTCCTTTGATCCCTCCCACTTCCGATAATCCCACTTTCCCATCTGAATGCCTTATAAAGAAAGGTTTAGATTAATCCCCAAGTTAAAATCTCAATCTGCTGACACGACGTTCAACAAGCTTTCCTGCTCATAAAACTATCTGGAGGCTTTTAAAAAGACAACGCAGGTGTAAAGACACTGATGCAGATTCATAGCTTTTCAAGGGAAAGCCGCAAACACACAAATACAGGCTTATGCTCATACTTACACACACACACACTTACTCAAAGCATGCAAGATAAGAGGGGTATGATATTCAAGAAAGCCGCCAGGGAGGCATAAAGGTAAATGTCATGTCCAAGGCTAAAGAGAAAACAAGTTTACAGTTGGTGTTAAGATCACTGAGCCCTGTGGTTGTCTCCATAGGAATCACATATACCAACCAGCATGGAGACACATTGGGGGGACGCACAAGGACCGAGGCTCACTGTGTGAACTAAGCACACATGTAAACACTGCTCCCTGCCTCAATTGAGGTTAAAACATACAAGTTGCAAACAAACATGCAGGCCGCTGTGCTTTCCTAAAGGAAACGTCTTTTTTAAAAACTTGGAATAACAACCTTCTCTGTTTTTAGCGTCTCATTTGTTACTCCTCAAGTGAAAGTTAAATCCACACCTCCTGTTCTAAAATGTCTGCTCAGGAATAAAAAAAACATGAAATACAATTTTCATGCAGCACACGCTCACCTGCACTCTAATGATACATGTGGCAACACGACTGAAATAAACAAACGGCTTGTTTGTGCAAAGATTGGTGAAATGAATCCAGCTGTGATGATCAGGGAACGGCTAGAAAAATAGACAATTGTAACCAACGGCAAAAACTGCTTATTAGCAATCAATATGCTCAGAGACAATGAATGTTTGGACCAAAATGCACCAAATATAACAAATGCAGACAAACTGTCATGTGCCTCCGGAGTCACCACTGAGTCGAAGTGCTAAATTATTCATTCTGGGGCCTGAACAGGGCGGCACGCATGTGTGAACTCTCATTATTCATTTTGTTGGGACATAGACATGCTTACACATTCAGATAATGGCAGTTCAGCATCTTTGAAAGGACTGCAAAAATGAATGCTTAAGGTTTAGTGCATTTGTTAAAGGTTAATGTTATAACCCTACAAGTAGTCACAGGAACAGACTCACAGAAATGCGGTTTTAAGTTGATGATTTTAGTGTGTGTTTTTTTTTATCCAACCACTCACAGAAATAGTTTTCTTGTCCATTCAGTACTTGTGATGAGCCCTTAGTACATTTTCAAAGCCTCCCCATCAAAAGTAGTATTTGTTCTCAAAATCTTCAAAACTGCTTATCTCTGCTGAAAAAGAATTTTTACTACAGCCAATAGGTAGTGTTTCATTGATCTGGGTAACCAATAAGAAATCTGGCCAACCGGCGTGAGTTTTTATTGGCTGATTGTGTAGCTAGGTTGGAGGGAAAAAGAAAAAAGATGTCTGCAAAAAAAGGGGAATATGGCGGTGGGGCGGGGGGGCACTGATAAGGCTTAAGTTTGCAAAATTCATCTGAGAAAAATAGATGCAGGAAAATAACCATAATAATTTAAGAGTGCCTCTCAAAAAGAGAATGTTGTAAACATTCACTATAATTACAAATAGCCGTAAATTAGCTATTTGACACTTCCAGAAATTCTGCGAGTAAACGTGACTTTGATATTGTTTATATTTCCCAAAGTAAGAATGAATAGGATCTAAATAAAAAAAAAAAAAAAAAAAAAAAAAAAAAACTGAATGCCTATAAGAAGGAGCAGGAAGTATGGGATGGGTTAAAGCGGAGCAAAGGAGAAGAGTGAAAGAAAAGGAGAACAAGTGAGGGAAAAGCAAAGTAAGAGAGCGAAGAAGATTTGGGCAGGTTTTCTTTTCTCGTTGGCTGAGGTCTGTAACCAGGCAGAGTGTGTCTCTTTGCCTCTAAGTTGGCAGCTAAAGGGGGGTCATTATTCAAGCCGTTCATAAAACCAGTCAAACCTGCAGAATACAGCTGCTCTTGGACCAGCAGCGCTACTATTAGCACAGTAATATAATGAATACATGTTAACATGCAAAAAAAAAATACAATCACTCAAGTGTTCGAAATTAAATGTTTCTATTGCAACTAAGGATCACACACTGATCATATTAAATATAGCAGTAAAACATAAAGATTAAAAATATCATTATAAATATGTATTTAATACAATTTTAAGGTAATTCATCTTAAACTTTTATAAATATTATTCAAATTTATGTTATGCAATGATGATGCATCACTAAAAAGATAATACAATACTATTAGAGGACGTTAATCCTTTCAAAAAAACTGTTAAAGCAAATAAAAAATCTGAATGTGATAAAATAAATATGTACTTTATTTTGAAAATGTACTTTATTAAAGTAAAATGTCAAGAAAGAATATTGATAAATTACATCAAATGTGCCAAGATCTTATTTTTATCATCTTTAATACTTAAGGAGAAATTATATTAAAAAAGAAAATCGCCTTTTTCTGAATTTTTAACCTGGATGTAAATCCTAATATGAAGATAACCTCGATTATCTTTATTATTCAATCTAATCTTTTCAATGCGTAGTCAAAGACGGCAAAGATAAGCCAAAGGAAAACTCTTCACATTTGGCAGGGGTCAACAAATAAAGACATGTTCTTATCTCAAATATATGTTTAACAAAAACCTAAATGAAAGCAGTTCAGTCCTCAGAATAATAAAAGGTCTAAGAGCTGTTTTAGTCTCGACTTATTTGATTAACTAATATCTTTCAAGCACAGCAAAAGGATATACAATAAAAACAGAAAATGAGAAAAACACCTTCCTGTTTTAAAGAAAAGGCAGTCTGCAGCATTTGAAGATTTTTTAGAAGCTTTCCTTTTTATATTGTGTGTCACGCTGTATGCCCTTGGGAGTGCTCTGCCGTGCACTAGATTCTTAACTACCTGTGATATTACCACATGTATTTGCACAACACAAGGAGGTGGAGGTCTTGGAGGACCCCGTGCAAAGGATATGATGTCATCCGTTTGAGCGTTGGCACAACATAACATGATTTCATGGCTGTAAGTGTCCATCAGCATCAAAGTCTCAGGCTCACAGGGAGTTACATGGTTCTATAAAACCATGGACAGAGCTAGCATTGTTTTATTCATAAACACTGAACATGCTGGATTTGGAAAATATGAGCTGCTGCTTTATTGCTGCAGTAAAAATACGTCGATTTGAAGCTTTAGAATGTGAGTTTTGTCAGGACAAAAAAAAAAAAAAAAAACTCAGCTACTCTAGGGTCAGCTTACAGATCCTCAAAGGAGCAGCACATGTTTGCAAGTAAAAAAAAAAGAAAGAAATAGGGAGGACAGGCTCTTTAAGTAAGAGTACCAGCCTTGAGATTCTAAAATGAGAAAGGATGAGTAGAAACTAGTTTAGAGGATTTGAAGGAGCCAGATAAAAGTTTAGCCCACACCCTTTGAAGTGTATTTAAAGTCCACAGCAAGGAGTCAAAGTCACAAAGTGCCTTTGAGGTGTTTGCTCGGTTGTCCGTACGTGTTGGGGGACTGTGTGAATGAGACAGGATGAGGTGGGGGCAAACAGGAGGGACGAATGGCAGAGGTGATACTAGGTGAGCGTGAGTGCGCACTCATGCATGCTCAGCAGTCCCCAATAAAGAAAAGGAGAAAGCCAGACACTTCAGTCAGACAGGAGGGAAGTGTGTCATGACAACCCCCTTCTATGGAGCACTGCTCTCCAAGATCATACAAAAGAGCTTGCAAAAGCCTGCAAAGACAAAGGAAAGAAGTATTTTGATGGGAAATATTTATAATCTAGAAATTAAGATCTAGTTCACAAAAGATATTGGTCACATCTGACCTTAGTTATTAACAAAAAAA